CTCTTTTCCAGCCCGATCCAGTGGTTTGCTTCGCCTTTGTGGCGCAGAAGGAAGTTCTGGAAAGCAAAGAAATGTTTGGTTGGCCACTCTTGCCTTCCCCACCTCCTCTTTCCCTCCTGTGCCCACCCCCAGCCAGACATGGGGCTTTTCCCAAGGTGCTCCAGCCCTGGGAGCAGTTTGGGGCCAGGCTGGAGGGGTTTGGGGTTGGTTTGATCCTCTTGGTTTCCCCGTGTTTCCCACCCCGGTGCTGCTGCAGAGGCTCCAGCCCAGTCCTTACCAGTTCATCCCAGTCCTCACCAGTTCATCCCCGGTGCTTATGGTGGCCAGTGAAGCTCCCAGGGCCTCACACCTTTCCCGGCCCGTGCTCCAATTGCCCTCAGCCTTGGAAAAATAATAACATTTTCCTTGGAAACCAGGCCAGGTGTCTGGGCACACGTGGGAGAATTCGGGCTCAGGGATCCGAGGTCTCGCACTGAGAACTGAAACACAGAAAGCTGAGTGAGACACCTGGGCAGCCCTGAAAAGCAGGAAAATGGGATTGATTCTGGATCCTCCCCGTGGGGGTGCCTGGGTGGGACTCACCAGTCACTGCTCCAGCCAGGCTCAAGCTGAGGATCCCCAGGAACACACTCAGAGCGAGGAAAACACGCTCCTTGGGGAATGTTTTCCAGTCTAACTTGGTTCTGTAGGACCCTGGGGCAGGAAAGAGCAGGGTGAGGATGTCCTGGCTCCTCTCCCCTCTGCTTTGCCCTCCTGGGCTGGACCCTCAGTCCACCCCGAGCCCCACCCAGGCCCATCCAGAGACCCCTCTGGGGGCTCAGGAGAGCTGAGGGGGATCCTTCAGAGCCACCATCGTGTGTTTGAGGGCCTGGAGACGGATCTTCAGCCTCCAGAGGTGAATTCCACAGTGTGGAATTCAGTGCCCGGGCTGCTCCACACCCACCCAAAGGCTCCATCCCCATCCCACTGGTGCCCCCCTGGAGCGAGATGCTCTTCTCACCCCCTGCTCTCCCCCAGAGTGTTTGGTTTTCCCAGCATTACCACATTTGGACTGTTCCTCTGGATCACTGCAGGTGTTCAGGGGTTCCTCTTGATCTGAAGAATTTGGCTTTTGGGTTCCCTTCCCCATCGTGGCCAAGAAGCCTCAAGGCCCGGGGCTGACGTTCCCTGGGCTCTGTGGGGTGGAAGGAGAGGAGAGGCTGAGGGGACCTGCAGGGAGCTGAGACCCTCCTGGGCCACAGCCCAGAGAGCCAGGACAGACCTTGTGGGGTTGGCACTGGTGCCAAGGGCACCCTGCTATGACTTTTTCTGAACACGCCTCCGGAACAGGAGGCAGCACAAAGGACAGAGGAAGGGGAGGGGAAAAGATAAGAGAGGGAATGGAAGGGAGGGACAAAGACTAAAGAGGAAAAAAAAAAAACAACAAATTGAGCAGAAAGGAAAGAAAAAGACAAGTTTAAAGGCACTTGAACTATTAAATAAATAAGTCATTGAGAGCTCACAGGTTTGCAGGGGACAGGAGCCTGTTCAGGGCTCAGGGGGGGAAAAGGCACCGAGGGCTCGGAGCAGAGTTTGTGCTTTGGGGCCCTTTTGCAAAAACACACAGGGTGGAAAGTAGGTTGTGACAGATCACAGCACCTGTTCTGCTCGGGGTTTCTGTGTTGAGCTTGTTTTGCTTACAGGAATCCCTGCTCTGGTTCCTCCCCCCATGCCCACTGTTGCACCAGCACGACCTGGTTCCCTGCACCCCAAACCAACAGGGGCAGCAGCAGCTTTTGGTCCTCTTGGGTCTTGTGTAAGTTATTTCCAGCACCAAATGGACCAACAGAAGCTCGTCAGGAACATGTCCTGATAAAACAGCGATGTTTCATTGCCAAAGTGAGCTCTGAAAGCTGCAAAGGTTTGATTGTGGGCAAACAGATGTGAGAAAAGCAAAAGCAACTCCCTCAGAGGGGATTTGTAGGAGGAAACTCAAGGAGTGTTCAGATGCAGCATTTCCAGAGCAGTGGGAGGGTTAAATTGGGAGGAGAAACAAACAAACACAGGATAAGTCAGAAACAAACACAGGACAGGCAGGAAGGGAGTGTTGTTCCTGCAGAATTCAACAGGATAAAGCCCACATCTTGTCCAAGTTCTGAGCTGGGTCTGAGCCTGAAACCAGAGGGGGATGGGAAGCACATGACTGGTGAAGAATTTCCTATTTCAGAATTGTAGGTAAAAGACAGTTTCAGATGACAGAAGCCCCTGTGCACAAGCTGAGCTCCCTCATTTCAAGCCAAAAATACAGTCCTGCTTTTATAGAATCAGAGAATTGGGTTGGAAGGGACCTCCGAGATCATCCAGTCCAACCCTTGATCCAACCCCGCCGTTGTTCCCAGCCCATGGCACTGATGCCACATCCAGTCTGTGCTTAAACACCTCCAGGGACGGAGAATCCACCACTTCCCTGGGCAGCCCATTCCAATGGCTGATCACCCTCTCTGGAAAGAATTTCTTCCTAATATCCAACCTAAAACTCCCCTGGCACAGCTTAGGACCCTGAGCCCTCTTGTCTTGCTGAGAGTTGCCTGGGAAAAGAGACCAACCCCCCCCTGGCTCCCCCCTCCTGTCAGGGAGTTGCAGAGAGTGAGGAGGTCTCCCCTGAGCCTCCTCTTCTCCAGGCTGAACAGCCCCAGCTCCCTCAGCCTCTCCTCACAGGACCTGTGCTCCAGTCCCTTCCCCAGCCTCGTTGCAGGACCCGGCACTTCTGCCTCACAAATGTCGACTGTGCAACTTCAACAAA